CTCTCTCACAAATAAACATTAAAAAATAATTTAAAAAATGAAAAAAATCTGTACAACAGAAGGGGCTTTTTTTTGCAAAAAAAAAAAAAAAAAAAGATAAACATTGTATATATGAATAGAACACCTCCAAAAAGATTTGCTGAACTGTTGGCTCTGGGGACAAAAACCAACTGAGTAGGGGACAGAGGTGGCAGGCAGGTAGACTAACTTTTCAAAGTGTTCATTTCTTTCTATTTTGAATTTTGTAATATCTGAGACTATTACCTTTATTATTTTTTTAAGATTTTTATTTTTACTTTATTTTTTAAATGTTTATGGGGTGCCTTGGTGGCTCAGTCAGTTAAGCGTCCGACTTCGGTTCAGGTCATGATCTCACAGCTTGTGGGTTCGAGCCCTGCGTAGGCCTCTGTGCTGACATCTCAGAGCCTGGAGCCTATTTCAGATTCTGTGCCTCCCTCTCTCTGCCCCTCCCCTGTTCACGCTCTGTCTCTGTCTCTCTCAAAAATAAATAAACATTAAAAAAATAAAATAAAATAAATGTTTATTTTTTTGGGGGAGAGACAGAGAGAGTGAGCGGGGGATGGGCAGAGAGAAAGGGAGACACAGAATCTGAAGCAGGCTCCAGGCTCCAAGCTTTTGAGAGAAAGCACAGAGGCCTACGCAGGGCTCGAACCCACAAGCCGTGAGATCATGACCTGAACCGAAGTCGGGCCACTTAACCAACTGAGCCCCCAGGCGCCCCTCGAGATTTTTTTATTTTTAAGTAATCTCTACCCCCAACGATGGACTGGAACTCACAACCCCAAGGATCAAGAGTCCAATGCTCCACTGACAGAGTCAGCCAGATTCCCCAAGATTGTTACCTTTTAAATAAACAAATATTTTTTTATAGGCAAGAAACACAGTGGGAAAAATATTTGTAACACTCTATATCTTTTGTGTCAGTTATCAAATAATTGCCTCTTTGCCCCTCTGTGAAACTGGATGGTGGAGACTGCTCTCCTTTGCCAGTTAGCTTGATGCTATAGTCTCGGCCAATAGGGGGCGCTGGAAGGACATTGTAAACTGGAAATAGGAGGAACTTTTGTCCCTTTTCCCAAGGTTGCCAGTTTCCCTTGGCAATGAGTCCTTGTCTTTGAGGGTGTGATCTAGGTGCAGTCCATGACTTCTGACATATTTCTTTGTCCCGAATGAGCTGCTTGACCTGTGAGGATTCTCCCTGCAGAGTCCGAATCTCAGTCATGCGGAGAGTCCCTCTTCAAAGTTTCTCACTTCCTTCCATGTTTACCTCCCTCAAGGGCCAAGGGTGGGCAAACTGCAGCCCACAGGCCAAATTCAGCCCCCTGCCTGTTTTTGTGCTGCCCTCCATCTAAGATTGGTTCTTACATTTGAACCCCAACTAAGCAAAATGCTATCCCAACAAAATGGATCCCATTCTTCTCATTAAAGAACTTTATTCCAAAGTTTTTGCTCACTTACTATTATATTTTTAATTTTATCAAGACAAAGATTGTGGAGGTTTGCATTCTGTATTGTTACATATAAATATTCCACAAAGCCTAAAACATTTGCTACCTGGCTCTTTACAGAAAAAAATTGCCAATTCCTGCCTCATATAGAATTGATATAATTCTATCAATTAATAAGAAAATATAAACAACCCAATAGGAAAATAGGCATCTACCTATCCACTTAGTTAACAGATATTGAATGCCAGTCATTATTCTAGGTACTAAGATAAAGCAGAGGATGAAATATAAATGAAATACAAAGATGGAAAGAAGAAAGGAAAGCTTTATTGATATATAAAATGGAGCTCATTTCTTGGCTTAGGTCATGATGAGTAGATAACTCACCTGGCGGTAGGTCTGGAAGGACTTTGGGAATCTTGCAGGTTCTGGGAGTATTCATTGTTTGCTGGTTGGTACCATCCCACAGTTGTAGAGCAAAGAATAAATTTAACCAAGAAGGTCAAAGACTTGTACACTGCAAACTAAAAAATATTGCTGAAGGAAATTAAAGATTTAAATAAATGGAAAGACATTCTGTGTTCATGGGTTAGAAAATTTAATATTTTTAAGACGGCAATCTACAAATTAAATGCAATCCCATCAAAATTCCAACAGTCTTTTTTTTGCATAAATGGAAAAGATGATCTTCCAATTCATATGGAAATATAAGGGGCTCCAGATAGTTAAAACAACATTTAAAAAGAATAGCAAAGTTGGACAACTCATACTTCCAGATTTTAAAACTTACTACAAAGCTACATGTAGTCGTCCGGGTTCTCCAGAGAGAATCAAAAGGAGATGTATATAGAGATTTATTATAAGGTATTGGCTTATGCAATTATGGAGGCTGAGAAGTCCCATGAACAACAAATCTGCAAGTTGGAGACCCAGGAAAGCGAATGGTGTTGTTTGAAGGCCTAAGAGCCTGGAGGCCAATGATGTAGATTCCAATCCAAGTTTAAAGGCCTGAGGAACCAGAAGTGTGGAGGGCAAGAGAAGATCAATGTCCCAGCTCAGGCAGACATGCAGAGGCAAGGCAAATCTAACCTTCCTCTGCCTTTTTGTTTTATTCAGGCCCTCAATAAATTGGATGATACTCATCCATATTGGGAAGGACCATCTGCTTTACTTGGTACACCAATTCAAATCTCTTCCAGAAGCAACCTCACAGACACACCCAGAAATAAAGTTTAATCAGATATCTGGGCATTGATGGCCTAGCCAAGTTGGCATAAAATTTACCATCCCACTGCAGCAATGAAAACGGTGTGCTACTGGCATTAGGACGGACATATAGATCAGTGGAATAGAACTGAGAATCTAGAAATAAGCCCATACATTTATGTTCAATTGACCTTCAGCAAGAGTGCAAAGACTTCAATGGGCAAGGAAGAGTCTCTTGAATAAATGATGCCAAGACAACTTGATATCCACATGCAAAACAATGAAGTTGTATTCCTACCTCACACCATATACAAAAACAAACTCAGAATGGATCAACAACTGAGATATAAAAGCTAAAATTATAAAAATATTAAGAGAAAACATCAAGGCAAATATTTATGACCTTGGATTTGGCAATGGATTCTGAGATATGACACCAAAAGCATGAGCAACAAAAGAAAAATACATAAATTGAACTTCATGAAAATTGAAAAGTTCTATGCATCAAAGGACATTAAAATTGAAAAGACAACCAACAGTACAAATATTTGCAACAGTACAAATATTTGCAAATCATGTATCGGAGAAGGGTCTAGTATCCAAAAATGTACAAAGAGCCCTTATAATTCAGTAACAAAAAGACAACCCAATTTTAAAATGAGTAAAGAATTTGACGGGGCGCCAGGGTGGCGCAGTTGGTTGAGCGTCCGACTTCAGCCAGGTCACGATCTCGCGGTCCATGAGTTCGAGCCCCGCGTCAGGCTCTGGGCTGATGGCTCGGAGCCTGGAGCCTGTTTCCAATTTTGTGTCTCCCTCTCTCTCTGCTCCTCCCCCGTTCATACTCTGTCTCTCTCTGTCCCAAAAATAAATAAACGTTGAAAAAAAAAAAAAGAATTTGAATAGACATACAAAGAAGAAACACAAATGGCCAATAAGCACATGAAAAAATGTCTAACGTTAATCATTAGGAAAATGCAAATAAAAACCACAGTGAGATATCACAACACAGAGAATAGGATGGATATATTAAAAAAAAAAAAAGTGACAAGTGTTGGTAAGGATGTGGGACATTAGAACCCTCATACATTATTGGCAGGAACGTAAAATGGTGCAGCTCTTACGGAAAACAGTTGGGCAGTTCCCCCAAAAGTTAAACATAGAATTACCAAGCGACCCACCAATTAGACTCCTAGGAATATACCCAAAAGAATTGAAAACGAGGACTCAAATACATATTTGTACAAGAATGTTTGTAGCAGCTTTATTCACAATAGCCAAAAGGAGAAACAACCCAAATGTCCATTAACAGATGAATCTCTAAACAAATTGTCTCATACACGTACAACGACATAGTCCTCATCTATAAAAAGGATTGAAGTACTTATACACGCCATCGCGTTGGATGAGCCTCAAAAATGCTACGCTAAGCCAAGGAAGCTAGACACACAAGGCCACGTATTGTACAATTTCATTTATATGAAATGTCCAGAATAGGTACATCCATAGGGACAAAAGGATGATTGGGGGAGGGGGGTAGTGAGAAGGGGAGGGGCAATAGAAGATGACTACATAACAGGTTCAGGGATTTCTCTCGGGGAGATGAAAATGTTTTGGAACTAGATAGAGGTGGTTAAATACCACTGCATTGCACCCTCTACAGTGTTTAATTTTGTGTTATGTAAATATCACTTCAATTAAGAAAAAAAAAAAGAAAACAGCTCACGCCAGCCAGGGGTGTCCCCAGGGTTGTCTGTCCAGTGTATGCTCAGCCTCACACTGCTCATGGGAACAATGAAAATATTGAGAGATTCTGGCCTCTGGCTGGGCTGTGGGAGCAGCCCTTCATCCCTCACAAGTGTGTGTCCTTGAGGGCAAGGCCTGGGTCTTGGTCACTCTAGGCCCCACCGAGTTTCTCAAAAAGAAAAGAAATTAAAAAAAAAAAAAAAAAAAAAAAAAGCCCGAATTACGGTCCAGCTCCACCCTGCACTTCCGTGGGAACCTTGGATATCCTGACCTCTCTGAGCCTCAGTTGCCTCAACTGTCACAGGGAGTCATGACCCTGTCCTGGCCACCTCCCAGGGCAGGCGTCCATCACACACGTGCAATTGCTTGGCGCAGGACAGTGGTGTCACCCCCTCACTGGAAAGCAAGGGGTCCCAGTGGGCTCTTAGGAAACGCACCCAAGACCTTTGAAATGCAGGGAGGATGAGGGCGGAGACCTTGCCAACCTCACCCTGGACTCCCTCCCCTACCCCGCCCGGTCTCGTCCTTCCCGTCCCCCCTCCCCCCTCCCCCATCCAAACTGCCCCGCCCAGTCCCGCTCCCCACCCACCCCTAGCCAGGACTGTCTCCGCAGAGCCCCGCCGGGACCAGGTGTCCCAGGCTCGCCAAGATGCAGCCGGGGCTCTGGCTCCTCCTGGCCACGCAGCTGGCAGGTAAGACCGGGAGATTTGTGGGGCGCCCGGGGCTGGAGCAGGTGGTCTCCCCGGGACCGGGAAGAGCCTGAGCTGTAAAGTTTACAAAGGCTGTCCTGGCAGAATGCAGAAGCCGGGGCTGGGGGCGCACTCGGGAGGCGGCATGGCAGGTACAGTCCCTAAGGGTGGCGAGGAAATTCATCCCCAGAGCTCATTACCCTAGGGGCCCCTGGAGCCCCGGGATTGAGGCTAGCTCTGCCCAAAAGCCCGGAGGGGAAGGAGGGCAGGAGTCAAGAAGGAAGAAAAGAGGGGAAGGAAGTGCAGAGTAAAAGGAAAAATGCCCTTGTCTAGGGTTCCCTCCCAGGGGTGTGCCCCCAGGAAGGTTCCAGAGGCTCAGTTCTGGCTTTGGTATTCTGCACTTCACCCGGGGTTCTGTAGACACATTTTTAGTATTTCCGGGAAAGTATTCGGAGGACAATCTGCCAAACACCAGGCTATTGCCAGATCTCAGACCGCTATGGCAGAGTACTTCCTCGGGGTTCCCTGTTTCCACCCCCACCCCCCACCCCAACTGTCCCTGGGTTGTGTGTGCTGTGGAGCTTGGCTCCAATGGGAGCCCTGCTGGAGCTAGAATGTAGCAGGCAGTCTCCGCTGTCCCTCTCATAAGCCCAGCCAGACTGCCTTTTGGAAGAGGCCCCTCCACGCACCAAACTGCCCACTGACCTGTGGCTGATTGCTCTCTTACCCAAAAAGCCCAAAGCTGGCCACCTGCCAGAGGTGACAAGACCTGCCAGCTCCTACTCTGACCCACGAGCTTAGCCATATCTCAAGCAGAAGTTAGTCGGGGCCATTCAAAACTAGTAGTTAATGCTGATCGTTTTAGAAACAGCAGGCCCGACTGAGAAGGGGGTCACTGGAAGAGAGTCAGATGAATCAAATGAGACCGCATAGGTAGCAAGGCCTGGCTCTGTGTCTGGCACATAGATAGAGCTTGACATTCAGTCTCCAGGGACATAAGAGAGAGACCAGGGTATATTGCAGCCGGGAAGTCTGCATGTCAGGACACAGCAGGGGTAACATACACAAAAAACCCAGGGTCCTTTTGGGCCCCTTTACCCCTTTAGGAGTCACTTCTGGGCTTTCTTGGAAGAACTTCAGGAGTCTGTGTATTTGTAGACCCACTGTGTACACGCAACGACATGACAGTGATCCAGGAGAGGATCACAGGTCTCCTTGATTCGGGGAGTGGCTCAAAGTTCCGGTTCTGGGGTCCCAGACCTGGGTTTGAATCTGGATCCACCACATACAGGCTGTGTGGCCTTGAGCACGTCCTTCACTTTCCTGAGCCTCTGTTTCCTCATGAGTATGGGTATAAAACAGGATCTGGTGAGGATTAAGCAAGATAATGCATGCACCATGCTGGGCACAGTTCAGTGAATATTGGCATCATCGATTCTTATCATCTTCCCCAAGATGTCAGTGACCCCAAACAACGAAGACCCTCTACTCTGCTGAAAAGGCAGTATGGTGTTTGGGGAGAAAAGAGAAGGGCCAGCAGGCACTTGGGCCCCAAGTACCATTTCATTCTTCCTTTTTTTTTTTTTTTTCTTAATGTTTATTTATTTTTGAGAGAGAGAGAGAGAGGCAGAGAGGGAGGGAGAGACAGAGAATCCCAAGCAGGTTCCACACTGTCAGCACAAAGCCCGATGCAGGACTCGAACTCACAAACTGTGAGATCATGACCTGAGCCGAAATCAAGAATCAGATGTTTAACCAACTGAGCCACCAGACACCCCTACCATTTCATTCTTGATACAAGCAGAAGCTCAGAGTGGCCTGTGAGTAGAGTCAAAAAGTTCAAGTTCACGGCCCATTCTGGAACCATGAAGTCTGAGACACAAACATCAGCAGGATTGTGCCTTTAGGCCACTACCTCATAAGCCAGCTCCCCTAGGACACATATATACACACACATTCTCTCTCTGGCCTCCTCTGCCTACCCAAGTCTATGTCCTTTTGTGCCTCGCTGTTCCTGGGTCTCTGCCTGGGTCTGTGGGGTCTCTCTCTGCCCCACAGCTAAAATGGAAGGCTTGCCAGGTCAGATTCAGTTTGTTGGACTTGGCTGCGAAGGACCCATTCAAATCTTTCCTAAGATTTCATCTGCTGCCAGTAATAACCTCTGATGTATGAGACACGTAGAAAATGATTGACCCATGTGCACTGCTTTAGAGTTTACAGTGTGTTTTCTTAAATGCTCTAACCCTCGCAGGCAAGCAGGACAATGACCCCAAGCTGCCCTCCTTTTAAAGGATAGAGACAGGCTCCTTGACTTCCTGCAGTCCCACCACTGGTATGAGGCAGAAGCTGGGTTGAAGGCCGGGTCTCTGAGTTCCAGTCTAGTTTGTTCTCCATGAGCAATCCCCTGCTTGTCGGTGCTTCCCATCTTGAGACTAAAATGAAATCCAAGTGCTGCTTCTGGGGTATCTGTCCTTCCCCTCGAGAATGGGGATCCAGGAACCCATCACTTGCTGGGCTGAGGAGTGATAGGCTATAGTTGCACCAATAGCAACAGTGAGTTCCTCTTGCTGTTGTCATCACTGTCCAGAAAGGGTGGTTGGCCAGACCAGCCCTGTGCTCTGCCTCTGATTCTGGGTTCCCCTGGGCTACCTGAGTCTCCTACACCCGCTTGGAGCCTGTTGAAGGTCTGTACCTAGAGTGGCGGCAAGGCAAGGTGAAAGGCTTTGACTTCAGACTTTGAATCTTTGAGTTTGAATCCCAGATCACTTACTGGCTAGTGATGGGACTTGGAACAAGTAACGTCATGCCTCAGCTTCCTCGTCTGTGTAATGGGGATAAAAATCCCCAAATGAGTTTGAGATTGGGTTAAGATAATTTATGCAAAGAGCCAGGCTTATAGACACGCAATCAAGAAATGGCAGCTCTCTCCCCATCCCCTTTGTAAAGCTGGACATAGGAAACACCTGCCTTGCAGATGGTCTCCTGAGTCCAGGAGCCACTAGCTGCACTGAGTACAGCCCCTGGACCCCGCAACTGGGCAGGTTCTTCCACAGCTTTCCTTCAGTGCTTGACTCAGTGTGACTCCCAGGACCCGCAACAGTGGCTGGAAAAATGTGCTGATGGTGTCTGCTCCTTCCGCTTCTTGTAGCTCTCCGTGGCAGCTCCGTACTCCAGCAGGCTCCTGGGTCCGTAATGGTTCAGACCAATGGAATGGTGATAATGTCCTGCGAAGCCAAAACCTCGCCCACTAGCACGCGCATCTACTGGCTGAGACATCGCCAGGCTCCAAGCCCGGACAGTCACTACGAGTGCCTGGCCTACTGGGATCCCATAAAAGGGATTGTGTATGGACAGGAAGTGGAGCCAGAGAAGCTAACTGTGTTTCCGGACGCGACCCGGTCCATTCTCAATCTCACAAGTGTGAAGCCTGCAGACAGTGGCATCTACTTCTGCATGACCGTTGGGTCGCCCGAGCTGACATTCGGGAAGGGAACTCGGCTGAGTGTGGGTAAGAAAGTACCTCAGTGCTGCCAATGAGTATGAAGCACCTACTATGTTCTGGGTGCATGGCAGACACTAGAGCTGCCCCCGCTCTCAGCGAGCCCCACTCTGCAGGAGGTGGGGAGTGGTGGTGCCAGCCATGAGCCATAGAGCTACAGCTAGTAGGAACAGACCTAGCCAGGGCCAAGCACACGCAAGTGTTTTATGTAGTCATTTCACTTCATGCTGCCATCTACCTGGGGAGGTAGGGAACTGAGTCCTGTTCCAGATGGGATGCTTAGAAGCATTGCAACTTCTTCTGGGGACAAGGCAGTGCTGTCCTTTGGCCGCCACATCAGGCCTACCTGAGGCTATGCCTAGATTGGCCTCAGTCCCCAGACCTGACCGTCGTCTCAGAAATTCCCACCAAGTGTGCATCCCAGGAAAGAAAGTCCTCATTGCCTGGACATACCCAGTGAAAGCATTTCTAGGGCCAGTGGAGGGGCAGATGCCCTCACATTCTGAACAGGGGCCTATGGCTCAAACCCACACCCGGAGTTACAGGGAGTAAGGAGACTGGCGCCCAGACCTAGCTGCACATGCTGCTGCATATTCACTGTGTGCCTTTGCACCAGTCCCTCTGCTCCCTGGCCTCAGTTTTCCCATCCGTATCATGGGGCTGCTGCTGGCCTCCACGACCCACCCCCTGCCAGCCACCCTGAGAAGCTGTAGTTCTGTGAGTTGAATCAGCATGCCCAATAGAAATAGAAAGCCACAGATAAAATGTAAAACTTTCGAATACCACGTTTAACAAAGGAAAAAGAAATGAGTGGAATTAGTTTACATACTATATTTTAAACCCAGTGTACCCACAGTATCATCATTTTAACTTATAATCAATATAAAAATTATCACTGGAATGTTTTACATTCCCTTTCCATACTAAATGTTCGATGTGTTTTTAACATTTCACGCATACAGCACACTTCGAGTCAGACTGGCCGGTAGCCAAGGCGACAGGTGGCTGCAGTATTGGAGGGTGAGGATTAAGCTGTGAGGGGTGTGAAGGAGTCGTGGCAGAAATTCTCAAAAGGCCTGGTCTGGCTTTAGCCCCCTCCCCAGGTTAGCCCACGGCCGTCCTCCTACTGCCCTGCTTCCCACTCACCTGGCTTCTTCTCAGGCTGGGGGCACCGAGAATGCCAAGTCCCCCCCAACACCGCCCCCCACCCCCAGGAATTAGGTCACTCAGCATGGGAAGGTGCAGGGACAGTTAGGACAGCAGCACAATTAGGAAGACAAAAACCAGAGTGGGGTTGCTCTCCCTTCTCTCCAGCTTTGGGTCTTCAGTCAGAAGGTAGGGGTTGGGGGATGAGGTCTCTGGGACAAGAAGCTGAGGCATTCTCAGCAGGGAGCTGACTGATTCCTGTATTGAACACTGGGTTTTGGGGGGTGTGGGGTTTGGGTGTGGTTTATTGTTTTTGTCTCTATAAGCTCCGCATTTTCCCACTCGTTAGATTTGGGGGTCTGAGAAAGACAGATGATGAAATAAGTAAAACTGGTTTCTAGAAGTTTCCCCCTCCACCTCCACCACCACTCACCCACTCCTGGCTTTGATATTTCCAAACCCCTCATGCTGACCCTCCCCAAAGCATGTGCTTGCAACTGCGACATCTCCCCAGAGTCAGGGTATCAAGAGCCAGGCCCCACCCCTCCTGCGGAAGACAGTGCATACTGAAAGGGGAAGCTCGGGCAGTAAGGAAAGTATTGGGGTGGGGGGTAAACGGCCTCTTGGGGGCTAATCACACTATGGGTTCAAAAGGCCTGTCCCGCTCAACAAGGAGAGAAGCGGGTAGATTTGAATGGGGAGCTGGGGGAGTCAGGAGGAATCAAGGGGACCCAGCTCTGGGCAAGAAGAAATTAAAATGGAACAAGCCTTCCCACAAACCCCTCATCGAACCCCGACCACTGAGCCCAGCCAAGACCCTGAGGTCCTATAGAGCTGTCTCCCTTGCAGGCTTCCCACCGACCAGCCGAGAGACATCTGTGCCTCTTCGTGTACAAAGTAAAGGGAGTGGACACCTCCAGGGCCGTAAGGAGTAAAGGGGAAAGCCATGCTGGGTCACCCTGAGCAGAGAGCCAGGCTCCCGCATGCTCTGGGAGCACCATGGCTAGTGTCCTTTTTTCCTTTTATGCTAGTTTCCCTCCGCATTCCCACGGCCGAGGCCCTTGACCCGACGGGTCTTTTTGTCGAAAAGCATGTGCACCTGACGTGGTGTGGCTTAGTGAGAGCCTAGAATCAGGGTCTCTGGGCTCAGATCCCGGCTGTGCTGTTTAGGGTTTCTTGAACTTCAGACAAGCTAGTTCCATTCTCTGCGCCTAGGCTTCCTCGGGGATTAGATGGAGATACTCGTTCCCATCACCAAAGTGGTTGGGTTGAATACGCTTAAGCTGAGCTGCTTAGTTCTGCCGCTAGCACATGGCGGGACTTAGCAAGGGTTCATTCTTGGTGGTTGGTTCTTCCCAGAAACCTCACGAAGCAGGCAGAGCGTGTCATCTCTGCTTCTCAGAGGAGACTCAGGTCGGCGAGGGTCCAAAGTGTCCACTCTTTATGTGGAAGATGCCAGCCCTGAAGTGACCATTTTGTTGGCTGCCCCTCCCTGTCCTCCCGATGCTAGAGTTTAAACTGATGGTGTTATCTTCCCTCTCCTCCTATTTTGCAGAGGATCATTTTTGTGAAATGTCTTTGCTCAACCCACAGAGACCAGGGCTGGGTTCAGCAGCACCCAGTGCTCACCACCCTGTCCCTAGCATCTCAGAACCTCAGGTGTCTCCCTTCACTCTGTGTGCCTGTCCCACTGCCCTGCTCCGTCAAGTCAGCATGTGACACTGGCGTAGAACGAAAGAGAGGAGTGACCCATCCACGAGTCAGGAGACGGGGTTGGGGTGGTCCAGGCAGGCGCTTGGCATCGTGGGGCCTCGGGGCTGGCGCCTTACATCACTGGTGTCCGTCTTTGAAAGTAAAGGTTAGGACTAGAGGTCCTTCCAGCTCTGATAGTATATGACTTGTAAAGACACTTGAGAAGGAAAGAAAATCCCCATATATGCAACCTGCATGGTATCGTATGTGTGTTAAAGGGCACCCTCCTTTCTGTGAGCCTCCTCCACCCGGTTAGGGATTGGCAGGTTGGCTGAGGGGCTGGTCTCGTCGAGCACTTGGGGGCTCCAGCTTCTGCTCAGGGTCTTTGGCCAGGGGGAGCCATCTCTACTGCACCATTTGCTGGGCATGCTGTCCCCTTTAATCCTCACGACAACCCCAAGAAAGAACTGGGAGTCATCTTTATTTCAGCAGATGGGAAAACTGAGGCACTGAAAAGTGATAGGACTTGCCCCAAGTCACTCAGTGGTTAATCAGGGCATCTGGGGCTCTCTTCACGTCCATGTGGGTCCAGAGCCCCTCTCTTCCCCAGACACCAAAGTGACCCGCTGCCTCGACTCTCAGATAGGTCTGAGAGTTGGGGAAGCACATAGAAAACTCGATTACTCTATCACCTTGGAGCCCTGCAGCAGCCCAGGGAACAGTCATAAGGGCTTTCATATCTACATGGAAGACATGAGGCTTTAACTTTTGTCTGCAAGTCCACCTACTGATTACCTGGCTAAGACATGTGTCTTGCTTGCTTTCTGTAGTTGATGTCCTTCCCACCACTGCCCAGCCCACCAAGAAGCCCACCCCCAGGAAGAAAATGTGCCGGCCCCCAAGCCCAGTGACCCAGAAGGGTGAGTTCTCCCATTCTCCTGGACCCTCAGAAACAGAGCAGGAAGTTTTCCTTCTTCCCTTCCCTTCCCTTCCCTTCCCTTCCCTTCCCTTCCCATGTGTGGACTCTAGCCTGTTTCTCTGGCCCCACCCAATCTGGGGTCAGAAGGGAAGCTGAGTGTGACCACAGTGCTGCCCTCCAACAGCTCACAGTCTAATGAGGAACACGCTTGAAAATTGCCCTAGAGCAAAACTTAATGGAGGATATGTCCACCCCAAAACTTGCACACCAGTGTTCCTTGCAGCATTATTCATAATCGCCAAAAAAGTAGAAACAACTGGTAAATAGATTAACCAAATGTGGACTGTCCATACAATGGAATATTATTTGACCATAATAAACAGTGAAATACTGATATAGGCTACAACATGATGAACTTTGAAAATATTACACAGTAAAACAACAGACACAAAACCATGTATTATGTGATCCCATTGATAAGAAACGTCCACAATGTGACATTTCATAGAGACAGAAAGTAGATTAGTGGTTGCCTAAGACTGGGGAGTTGGGAAGGTATGGAGGAGATTGCTAAAATGGGTACAGGATTTTTGGTGGGGGAGGGGAGATGAAAATGTTCTAAAATTAGATCGTGGTGCTTGATGGGTGCACAATTCTGTGAATATACCGAAGACCATTAAATTATACACTTGGAGCAGGTGAACTTTGTACGTAAAGTATATCTCAGTAAGACTGTTTACAAACAAAAATAACCAACCCACGAGACCAGAACTTTAAAGTTCTTCAGTTTTAATACCTAACAGAGGGCCTAACACACAGTATGTGCTAATATCTTTTTGCTAATGAGTGAACTAACTTGCTTCTCTGTGCTATGAACACCAGACACAGCAGCTGGAGAACATACACACACACACACACACACACATGCACGTGCACTTTCCTTGAACCATTAGCCCAAACATGCAAATGTGTTTCTGGAAAAATACTGACCTCTGCTCCCCAAAAGATACTGGTGACAAACAGAAAGTGTCATGTGCTCCCACCCGTGGAACAAATGACAAGCTGCCCCACTAGGGCTGCCTCGTGCTGCTGGGTTGGCTTTGTCTTAAATGTATAAAGTAACAGAGCTCAGGGACAGGCATCTAATGGGATTGGGAGAGTGGGAACGGGAAGCTACCCCATGAGGTCCCAGTAAAAAAAAAAATCGGAACCCAAATGCAGAAGGGCAAAGTCTTGGTGAGCATAAAGGTACAGATAGATTGACCTCATTTTGTAAAGTATCTATACCCCACAACTTCGCCTAAAGGATTTTAGGCAAGTTACAACAACAACAATAACAAAACAGCACAAAAGGCAAATACAACAGGTCCATTTCGTTGAAGGTGCCAAAATTGGGTCTGTGCTGTGACTCTAGAGAAACGGCAAAACCAGCTGAACCAAAGGCAATACTCCAAATAACATGGCACACAAACCCTGCCCCCCACAGTGATAGAAAGAAACAACCCCAAGCTCCCGGCTTCAAAGCCTTCATCTCAGTGTTAAATTCTAGAAAAAGTCTGCTCTGTTCATCCTTCTGTAAGGCCTGCTGAACAACAGTGAACTCAGTAGAGCAACACTTTTGTAAGAGATGTGGACAAAGGTCTTTGAGATTCTTGCATCATTCCTTATGTCGACCCCCAGTAAGATCCCAGGGCAAGAATGCAAATCCAACATTAGTAGGTTATTAAGAATAACCAGGTTGTGCGTGAAAGTGGCCAAGTGGGGATTGGAGGGGGAGAAGTAGAGGTTGCATTGGGGGTGGGGGCCATGAGACAGGGTACCTTAGGGGTAAGTCAGCCAGGTTGAGGTCTGACTCTGCCTACCACTGCCTATACTGTGTGACCTTGGTCAAGTGATTTAACCTCTCTGAACCTGTTTCCTCATGTGTAAACTAGGGGTGTTTACCTGGCTAAAGAGAAGGCATGATTAAATAGATGCTATATGCAAAGCACTTACCTTGGGGGACACCCAGATAGATCTCAAAACTTGTCATCATGAATGAAACCACATGGCCACCCTGGGGAAGGACGTGCTCCCTAAGGCTTAGGGCTGTCCCTTGAGATGATTCTGAGACAATTTCTAAATTGCTGTGTCAGGAACGACGTAGTGACTTTCAGACTTCAGCAGACTCCGAAACCCATGCAAGGCAAGGAAGGCCAGGCCAGGTCATACAAGTGGCCAATATATGAAAATAGACTGAAGTTGACAAACACCATTTTTCACCCACTAGACTGGCCAAAAACTAAACAAGGGTCGGCAAGGTGCACAGTTGGTGGTTAGGAATGAAAACCAGTGCGGCCTTTTTGGAAGGCATTTCACAGTGTCTGTTACAACATTAAATGGACATAGTCTATGGTTTGGAAGTTTCTGTTTTCAATATCTGCCTCGGGCAGGCTCCCACATTAGGAAAAATGTACCAGGATGTTCTTTGCACAGTTATTTATAAAAGTAAAACATAGGAAATAAACGAAAAGCCCACTGATGACTAAATAATCCATGCTATGTCCATACTTTGAATGTTACTCTACTAGAAAAAGGAGTGTGCTGATATATTTAAAGAAAGAATGGTTTGCAAAACAGTTTGTACAATATAAGCCACTGTATGCTGTAAAACAAAAACAAAAACAAAACTGTAGGGATGCCTGCGTGGCTCAGTTGGTTGAGTGTCCGACTTTGGCTCAGGTCATGATCTCACAGTTCATGGGTTCGAACCCTACATCAGGCTCACTGCTATCAGCCTGTCAATGCAAAGCCCTGCTTTGGATCCTCCGTCCCCCTTGCTCGCTGCCCCTCCCCCAGTTATGCACGCTTTGTCTCTCTCTCTCAAAAAATAAATTTAAACAAAACATTTTTAAAAAACCTGTATGTGTCTGCATAAATACAAAGAGAAAGGTACCACGTTAACCATGGCATTTATTTCTGTGAAGGAGCTAGCATGCCAAGGAACACTCTAACCATATACTTGAATCTTTTACAATGAAAATATATTCAGCTATTTCTTGTGAAATTAAAATAAATTTTTAAAAATAAATAGTAAAAATCTCATTACCAGGCATGAAAATTATCTATCTCCTTTAGAACATAAGTAGCTCCTGCGTTTAATTAATTTTTAAAATGATGATGTGGGACATAAAATTTTTTTATTTTATTATTTTATTTTTTAATTTTTATTTTTTGACAGAGAGAGAGCACACAAGCAGGGTAAAGGGGCAGAGGGAGAGGGAGAGAGAGAATCTTAAGCAGGCTCCACCCTCTCAGTGTGGAGCCTGACGCTGGGTGGGGTGGGAGGGGCAGGCTCCATCCCACGACCCTGGGATCATGACCTGAGCTGACATCGCGCGTCAGATACTTAACTGACTGAGCCACCAGGGCACCCCTGGACGTAAAATGTTCTGTGTAAAAGTATCTCAACGTGTTCGAAGTGCCTAGAAAAAACGACGAGAGAAAAATGTGCAGCAGTGGTATTCTCTGGGAGGTGGGGCTTCCATTTGATCAGTTGATTTTTCCCTCTGTAATTTATCTGCATGTCTCAAATGTTCGATACGTGTGTCTTTCCCAGGCCCATCCTGTGGCCTCCTCACCCTCGGCCTGTTGGTGGCTGGAGTCCTTGTTCTGCTGGTGTCCTTGGGTGTGGCCATCCACCTATACCGTAAGTTGTGGCCTCTTGGGCCACGATGGCAACTCCTTTTGCCATTGGAGGTGTCCCTGAGGTCCTTCCTCTTCTAGGGAAGCAGGACAGATGGCAGTTTGGTGGAAGTTTATACCCACCTTCCCATCTGGTAGTTCCAGAGGTGCTTCTTGGCCCGAGGCCATTCTGCAGAGGTCAGAGACCACCCTGTCTCTGGAGTCAGACAAACCTGGGTTTGAATCCAACTCCACTATTCTTGGATCTAGTGACCCTGGGCACATGCCCTGGCCTCTCTGAGCCTCAACTGCCCCACCCAGGAGTAACAATATTATGTACCTCCCAGGGTTGCTGTTTGTAAAGTCCTGCCCAAGGTGCCTGGCATGAGATAAGCGGGAACTCCCATGAGCACTCGGGACAGAAACAGTACACAGAAGACATTGCAGTGGGGTTTGGGTCATGTTCCCAGAAACTTGAACTCCTCCTTCTCTGTGAGGCTGCAGGGAAATTCAGAGATGACTGCCTCTCTCAGCCCCTCTGGAGACGAGATCATCTGCTCTGGGCTCCCAGGGTTCATAAGAAAGAGGGGAGTTATATGGGAGGCCCTCACAACTGCCCAAGAGCCCAGGGCTCTCCTTCTGGTCCTTCTGCTCACCTGTGCCACCTCAAGCAAGGTACTGACCCTCTCTGGGCTTCTATAAAATGGGAGAGGGTGAGACCCTCTCCACAAAGAAATGTGTCATGCGCACATTTTTGCATAAAATCGCCATCCACAAAGGGATCCGTTTGCCCCCATTGGAAGAACCCCATTAAAGGTCAGTGGTCTGCAAATTTTTTTGTTCAAGGATCTCATTAGTAAAAACATTTTTAAATTATGAACCCCAACTGCATGTAGATCTTATTAGTAAAAACTTTTTAAATTACAAACTTGAACTGCGATTAGGTGTATTTATGTCATATATTACTTATGTTACGAAATGTGCTTCAGAAATGAAAAGGAATGAAGGATGAGACAGACATGTAAACAGACATGCTCAGACTTCCTTCCTACATCCCGTTGGGAGACCTTGTGCATTTCCCGCACGCACACGCTTTAGCTTAAGTCCACCGACCACCTGTCTGTACACCTCTCATTCCTGGCCTGCTGCAAAGGGCAGACTGGCATGTTTAAGAGCACATAGACTGGAGTAGATTAACTGAGTTTGAATTCTGGTCTTACTGCTTACTAGCTGCGTGACTTTGGGCAAGTCATTCCATAACACGTGTGTTCTGTGCCTCTGTTTCCCCATATACGAAGCAGAGATAGTAAGAGTAGCACTCAACTCATAGGCTTGCTGCGAGCTTTAAGGGAGTTAAACCACATAAAGCTGGAGCAGAGCCTGGCACCAGGGCAGTGGTCTGAGGTGCTGGCTGCCCCTCTGGTCTCCTTCCTCGCTCTCTGGGGCTCGGTGTCAGCGACCCACAGCCCAAGCCAACCGATGTTCTTGTTTGCTTCTTCCAGGCCTGAAGAGGAGAGCCCGGCTTCGCCTCCTGAAACAGTAAGTGCTTGGGGCCTCAGAAGAGTGCCCATGACGCGGCCCTGGGTGTGGTCCTGGCTTCCTCAGCCCCTGCTGCTGCAACCTCCACCCACAGGGGGCCAAAGCCAGACGCAGCCTTCAAAAAAATCTCAGACTGTATAAGTAGATGGAGTGATAGAGTTCAGGAAGAGAGAGCATCTAACAAACAAAACTACTCGTAGCCGTTTAAGTCAAATTTCAAGCACTGAAAGATTTAGCTTAGCTCTCCCCATGTTCACAGTCAACTCTTGCAAGCATCGGATACGGTAGGATACCCCAAACTCTTTTCATTTGACTTGGTCCTTCATGACATAGGAGGGTTACCTTTATAGACCAGTTGAAAGACTTGCTCAAAGCATTTGGGATGGTAAACGGCAGAACTGGATTCGAAGACCATTCATTCCCTGCTTCCTTCCCTGCCGGTATTGGGCTGCCTGGGTCCCATCTTCTACCCTAGACCCCACCCGGGTCCCAGGGGTTGGCAAATCAAAAGGTTGAGTCACATATACAGGGGGGCTAAAAGGCACTCGCTCTTCAGGTCTACTGAGCTGTGTAAACACGGGCAGAAGCCCAGAGGCCCTGAGGGGCCAGGGGCTACTCCCAACCTCAGGGACTTCGGGACCTCAGCTGGGCCGTGGGCAGCGTTCTTGGATTACTTTTTCTTCCTCAAAATGCTGCTTCGCATCTACCTATCTCATTAATGACAAGCCCCTCTATATAGAGGTGTTCGGAAAAAAAGAAAGCCCATCGTGCCTCTAGATTAAAGAGGGCAACAGGGCCTTTGGCTTAAGAGCTCTGGCTCCAGCATGAGGGTTTGAATCCTGCCTGCCACTCACCAACCATGTGACTGTAGGCAAGTCACTTCACCGCTCTGAGCCTCTGATTCCTCATGTAAAATGGGATAACAGTCCCAAACTCATGGCTGTTGTGAGGACTTACTGGGTTAAAACCCATAAAGTGCTCAGCCCCTGGTCCTGTGGAGTCAAAGCACAAACTCATGTTCCTTACAAAAGTCAACTCTATGAGCCAAAAAAACAAGGAACAAAGTGTATCTGTAAATACTTGAAAATGTAATCTCCATATAAACTCTATATAGTATTCTCTACCTTATTAAATACATTATATTTGTAGCTATAGTTGCTTGACTATAGACAGTCCCTTAAACATGCCTGCTGTATTTTATTGGCAATTTTCAATCATTTTGATTGTGCACAATTTATACAATTTTAGGTGCTGGATTTAGAAATTACCTCCTAAGAGACAATAACCTGAGTGTATTTGTCTGAGCCTAGATCTTCAGAATGTTCCATTCAACATCTTCCCCATGGTGACCCCATTGGGGGGGGTCCCCATTAGGGTACTGCCCCCACCAACTCCTTCATTTTAACTTGTTCCCAAGTGATCTGATGACAGTTTTAGGGGAGCTGGATATAGTGTCTCATGCTTTGACAAACCCAGGGGTTCTGAGGACCCACCGTGATGGGGAAGGAGCTGGGGGTTGGTCATGGGGGACCGTGAGGCCCCTCAACCCTCTGCTGTCATCGGCTGCCTGTACTTAGGCTCACCTGTGAGACATCATTTGAACAAAAGGGTTTGTGGCTACAAAAAAGTTCGGAAACCACCTCGAGTTTTGCTGCCATGATGCAGGTGTGGACAAAAGAGTCCATGGGCCTCACAGATCAGCTGTTCCAAACTCAAGTTGTGATTTGGGGAGGACGTTCCCCAGCCTATAACTGACCCTGGAAAATCTGCCCATCAGCAACCAACTTCTTCTGGCCCCTCAGTGTGCATTTGTCAATAGCTTATCTAAGAAGGTACTGCAGGAAGTAACACTATTCAAAGCTAGAGTTCTTTGGGCTTTTTTTTTTTTTGAGCTTCTTCATTTTTTTTTTTAATGACTAAGATGGGCCCTGAAAACATACTAGTGGAAAACTCCTGGCCCCCGGGCTCCTTACTGGGAGTGGAGCCCTGCATCCCCGCATGGCATTTGTCTCTGTTACAGGAAATTCGTATCATTTCCCTGAATGTAAGTGGTTTCTTGACTTGCTATTGTTTTCAGGTTTTATAAATGAGCAGAGAATATGCTTTTGGTGTCCTGCTACAAAAATACGTTGGTCAATAATGAGCGAGATCTGGAAAAATGAGAGAGAAGGGACACGCTCAACTCCCTCGATTGTGGCAATTTCACTGACCTGCTGAAGTTGCCTGCTTTTAACTACTGCAAGTTCATTCTGTGGGCCTCACGCATGGGAGAAACTTGTTAGTTGGTCATCGCGAATCACGAATCACGGAGAGAAGGCTTCAGAGCCCCGGAGCACTTCCTGCAACTTCCTGCAAATGAGTAAGAAATGCCGCCATGACACCACTCCCCAGCTCCCGTACTCACCCTGGGCTGGGACCCTCGTGTTGGCCGTCCGGCCACCTTCTCGCAAGTTGCTTTGCCCTGATAGGGCAGTGACATGGAGTCCTGAGTCTCTCATGGGATGGTGCTGGGATGGCTCCTCCTTGGTCTTCCCAGGCGGGGGTCACCGTCCTCACTGAGAGCCACAGAGACCACACCCAGCTTGGAACCGTGCTTTCTGTGAAGGGCTGACTCAGTCGGTTCAGTCTCCAGGGACCTCCTGTGGAGCAGGAACTTGTGGTGTGGGAGCCGGAGTTCACTTAATCTCCCATTAGGAAGTTCCTCAATCTCCCATTAGGAAGTTCCTCCACTTTCACTTCTGCCCTCCCATGGCTTGTATATTTCTTCTCTCACTGTTCTTTTTATGAAAATGTCTTGGTTGTAAAAATAAAACCCTGAATAAAAGATGCGAACGGCTCCCGTGATGTAAAAGCACAAAGCCCATCTGTACGGCAAAGATGTTAATGCTCAGCTAAAACAGAAGTAACAAAGATAAAATGTGCCTGTCCTCATCTGCCCCCACAACATGCTGTAGTCTGCACTGTAGGCATTGAGAGAGTCTCAGAGGCATGGAGAGAGTCTCAGAGGTTGGGAAGCACCCAGAGCCAGGCGGCAGGGGCCCCGGGGGCCGACACTTCTGGCCACTCCAAGCCATCTTCACTAGCACCTGCTCAGTTGTACAGAGTGGAACCCCCAGACTCCTAGCCACAGGCTGGTGACCTTATAGTAAAAAGAAGGTGAGGGGAGCCTGTGTGGCTCAGTCGGTTGAGCATTAGACTCTTGATTTGGGCTCAGGTCATGATCCCAGGGACGTGGGATCAAGCCCTGCATTAGGCTCTGAGCTGAGTGTGGAACCTGCTTGGGATTCTCTCTCTCCTTCTCCTCTGCCCCTCCCCTGCTCATGTTTTCTCTTTCTCTCAAAACAAAACAAAACAAAACAAAAAAAAAAAAAAAAAATAGTTTCCTTCTTCCCTTCCTTCCTTCCTTCCTTCCTTTTTTTTTTTTTTTTTTAAACTGTTTCTCAGCTTTGACAGGGAAAGAAAATGCAAGAAGAGGCTGAGCTGGATGAGGAAGTTGAGATGAAGGTCTTGTGCCTTCCGTAAAAGCCCAGGGATCTTATCTTGACTCCCCACTCTGGGCCTTAGCAGCATGAGAGCTATGGAGCCAAAAACGAATGCGGCCTAAGGCTGCGTTCACTGAAGCACCATGCACAGGCCACAGGAGAATAGAGCCCCAGCTGCTTTTCCTGCCAGCTGGGAGGTGCAACTCTGGAAGGGAGATGGGGAACCAGGCTCTGCCCAGAGGCCTCTGGCAGCCACAGAAAGCAGGAAAGGAAAGATGGCTCGAGGGGAGGGGGCCGCGTGGCCCTCTCGCAGCATCAGGGATGCCGCCTGTGGAGCAAAGGCCACAGAACTAGGTGTGGGTGGGAGTTAGAAGGGTGTCCATGCAGAAGGCGCTTGAGAGAAGCGAACACTCCCTGCCCATCAGCTCTGAGGACAACGGGACAGGCTGCCTCCCAGGGCCCAGGGGAGGGGGGCAGGGCCAGGGTAGCCTGGGCCAGACTCCTCCAGGGTTCACATTGAAGGTGGGCTTCTTGCTCTAAGACATCCCATTTAATACGCGACCAAAGCCCAGATATGCAGCCTACCGTCCCTGCAGGCTCACACCCAGTCCGCAGCGGAAGTCAGAACAGGCCTCAAGGCCCCCTTGTCCCACTCCAGGCTCTGCTAACTAACAGCATCTCCCCATTGCTGCCTTTGCAGTTGTGCTTAGTTGTTTGCAAATTCATAGGGGGTGAGGTTGGGGGACCAAGGGTGAAGGGGGGTGCACCTCCGTCTGTTTTCTGTGCGGCAGACACCTGCTACAGCTTGGTCCGCCCAGAGAGCTGGAGCAGGCTTGGCTGCCAGCCGCAGGGGCAGGGGCTGTGGTGAAGAGGTCTGCACCCAGCACCTGACTTTTGTTTTGAAGAAGGCACCGAGCATTTACTACTTTGGGGAAGGCCATTACAGCAAAAGTATTTACCAAAAAATGTTTTTAACCTGGCTGTCTTTTGACCGGCAACAATTCCATCTCTCGGCATCATCTTAAAAAAAACACGTCTCAAAGCTACATGTACAAAGAAATACACGTCAAAAAAATTTTTTTGTAGTCCTGCTTGTTAGTCCCAAATTGGAAACAATCCAAATGTCCATCAGGAAAAGTGAATTAGGGGACACTTGGGTGGCTCAGTGGATTAAGTATATGGCTCTTGACTTCAGCCCAGGTCATGATCTCACGGTTCATGAGCTGGAGCCCCACGTCTAGGTCCACACTCGCAGTGAGGTGCCTGCTCGGGACTCTCTCTCCGTCTCCCTCTCCCTCTGCCCCTCCCCCGCTTACACACGTGCTCTCTCGCTCCTGCTCTCTGTCTTTGTTTCTCAAAAATAAATAAACAAGAGAAAAAGAAAAAGAAAAAGCCAGTTAGATCAATTGTGATACAAGAGACTCCCTGCAGCTGTTAAGGAATGAACTGGATTCACACATGCTAGGATCAAACGGCCACGGCTTCAGCATATATTTTAACAACATCTGTATTGATTATCCTCGTTTTATTTTATTTTTTTAATGTTTTTATTATTTTATTTTTTGAGCGAGAGAGGGTGGAGAGGGGCAGAGAGAGGGAGACAGAGGATGCGAGGCAGGCTCCACGTTGACAGCACGGAGCCCGATGCGTGGGTCAAACCTACGAACCGCAAGATCATGTCCTGATCTGAAGTCAGCGCTTAACCAACTGAGCCACTCAGGCACCCCTATCCTTGTTTTAAGCGCCACATGTGGCCACTGTTAAAATTCAAGCACAGATAAGAACAGGCAAAGCAGATATATGTTAAAGTCAGGATATGTTTACCGTGGTTGCAGGGGTGATCAGTAGGAGAGAGTATGAGGTTTGGGGGTTGGCATGTTCTGCTTTTCCATCTGGGAGCTGCTCTTACGGGTGTGGTCAGTTTGTGGAAAGTCACTGAGCTATACACGTATGATATGCCAACCCTTCATATATACATATGGAAAGAGACAATAGATTATACTTAAAGAGATATTTTAAATACTTAAGCACAGAGCACTGCAAAAATGTGTTAACATTGGTATTTGAAAGTTTCTTGTTCTCCCAGATGTTTCCTGTGTGTACTTTTTTAAACAAAAAATTGAAACCTTATAAAATGTAATATGTAACACATAAGATGTAGAATATAAAAAAATCGAATCTTATTCTGCAAATTTGATTTTTTTTCCCTCTAATATATATATCAATGCTTCTGGACATATTTGTATGTGCATAGAAAAAGCTCTGGAATGATGTACTCCAAGCCGTTAATGATAGCTACTCTGAAGAATTTCTACTTCTGCATTGTACATTTCTGTGTTGTGTAAATTTTTATAACAATCATGTATTAATTTTATAATTGGGGGTAAAATGGTTTGGGGAAAAAACAGCCTCTTTTTAAAAAGAGACTCCTGGGGCGCCTGGGTGGCGCAGTCGGTTGAGCGTCCGACTTCAGCCAGGTCACGATCTCGCGGTCCGTGAGTTCGAGCCCCGCGTCAGGCTCTGAGCTGTCAGCACAGAGCCCGACTTGGGGCTTGAACTCACAAACCACGAGATCATAACCTGAGCTGAAGTCAGTCGCTCAACTGACTGAGCCACCCAGGTACCCCGTCCAATCATTGTATTATTAAAAAATTGGAGGGACACCTGGGTGGCTCAGTTGGTTAAGTGCCTGACTTCGGCTCAGGTCATGACCTTTTGGTTCATGGGTTGGAGCCCCACATCGGGCTCTCTGCTGACAGCTCAGTGCTTTGGATTCTGTGTATTCCTCTCTCTCTACCCTTCCACTGCTCGCTCTCTCTCTCTCTCTCTCTCTCAAAAGTAAATAAATATTTAAAAAAAATTTTTTTAATTGGAATCCGCTTAAATATCCATCAATGAGAGATTTGTTCATAAATGAGAGTGTTTAAAAATCCGTGCAATGGGAATCATGTGACGCATGTGGGGGCAGCAGGACAGCGGGGCCTGAGCCTACCAGTTGTGCCAACTTGGACAAGCCCTGTAACTTCCGTGAGCCTCAGTTCCCTCCTTTGCAATGGGAGCCATGATAGTGTCGGTCTGTCTTGCTGTGAGGCTGGCAGATGGCAGGGTCTGGGAACCGTGGTGGTTCCTTGGCCAGCCTTCCTCTCCGTGGGAAGCAAGGGTAGAGAATTCTGGGCGCCCAGTCTGCAGGTGTGGCACCCAGCAGCACAAGTTCAAAGGATGGAGGGGGCTCCTACGCCACCCCCTCCCTTTCACCCTTCCTCATCCCCACCCTGGCCCCCCTCGTCTCGCGTCTCTACCTGTAGGAAGTGGGCAACTTGTTTTCACAAAGTGATCCCCAGCCCTGTGTGGGCTGCAACGTTGATCCGAATCTACCACCCAGTCAAAGGGAAAGAGAGAAAGAGCCCTGTCTTCAGAGGCCTTTCCAGGTGTGGAGGACGAAAGAGATTTCCTCCATCACTTCTTGGGAAACCTCCTCAGATGCGTCACTGACTCTCCTCGGTGACCGTGAGTCATTGGTTCCTGGAGTCCTCCGGGCTACATAACTTGGTGCTTCAGTCCAAACAGAAGGAAGCCGTATCCCCCGACACCGCCTCGGTTTGGGATTCACAGACAGACAGACAGCTGGCCCGTGTGATTCTCATCGTGCTGAACACGGAAGTGCTGAAAAAGGAATTTATTCCTGCACAGTGTCGTTGACTCTCCTGGATCTTGTTTTCTCGCGTTCATGTACTGCCCTTTATGAGCAAGTCCCCGTCTTTAGCTTAGCTTGGGCTTCTGAATTTGAACAGAAAAGTCTATGTGTCTTTTCATGTATTTTTAACCACAGACCATCGCCTGTCCTGTCCCCCGTGGACAAGGCTAATCGCCTGCCTCCTGTCTGCCGTTCGTGCTCCCCTTCCTCAGGTTCTTGGTGCCAGTTCAAATGCATTTATTTGGGGCACCTTCTGTGTGCCTGGCTGGCCCTGTGCTGGGACTATGGGCCTAGGACAGATGCAGCCTGGCCCCCGATCCCTCCTTACTGGCCAGTCCCTGATCTCCTGGAGACACCAAGGCCTGTGGGAGCCTGTCCTGCCATCTGCACACTCAAGTCCGCATTCCCGAGCCCCGAAGCCAGAATCAATATGAATAAATGAGCGAGGGAGGAAGGGCTCCCACAAGCGGGCCCCGCTCCTCGCTTGCTGAGCTAGGAACACAGTTCGCCTGAGGCACCCCCTCAGCCCTCTGCTGCCGGCTCCCCAACCCAGCCTGTCGGGGCTCCCCAAGGCTGTGAGAACTTGATTTATCCCCACTTCTCAGTGTTTGCTCTGCCAGGTACGGTCGACAAACCGCTCGAAGAACACGAGCTCAATGA